GTCAGTTGCGGCCAGAAAGTCCAGGCCGCACTCGCTGAATGGGAAAGATCGAGGCTCAAAGTGGCCGATACTTAAGCCCTGGCGGGGATAAGTAGCTTGTGGGTGTCGGCGCTGCGCCACCTAGCGGTCGCTAGTGAAGCTTCTCAGCGCAAGAAGTGGGAAGGAGGCTTGGAGAGGAGCGAGAAATAATAAGATTGAGTATATGTGTATAACTCAGGTTTATTAACGTTCCCTAGGCCAAGCTCTCGTGGGCGAGCGAGATCCAACTCCGGAAAGTCCAGGAGTGGAACTGCGTGCCGAATCGAATCGGCGCTGTCTTTTATACCGCTGGCCGGTCGGCGCGCGAGCCGGCAGCGGCTAAGTGGCGGAGTGGGGATACGCACGCAGGAGTCTCGTGCCGTTGGCGTATATCAATGTAACCCATGTAACCCAAATAACCCAGATAACTAAAGTAACCCAAGTAACCCAAGTAACCCCAGGTAACCCGAGTAACCCAAGTAACCCCAGATAACCCAAGTAACCGAGAAAACACTGTTTTGATTTGCAGTTTAATTGTTTAAACAATAGCCGAGCTTGGTCACTTTGGTTTCAGCTTTGGTTAGCTGGGTCATGTGGGTTGTTGCTTTGGTTTGCAGATATTTATAAAAAAAAAAAACAATTACCTAGCTGGGCTTTATAGTCGACTACCCTGGTTCGCTTTTTCTTATATTCTCGAACATTTTTAAAATTTATAATACAATTTTTTTGATAATTTTTTGTATTTAAGTTTTGATGGTTTTGAAATTCGCGCCTAAGCGCCATCTTGAATTTTTTTATCACTCGTTCCCTGTTCTCGGTGCCCACTATTTCCATTGTGGCGCACAGTATCCTTGTCCAGATTTAACTTATTGAGATAATGTAGTCTAAATCAAATAGTACAATATTATCAATACAGAATGAATGAACGCATTGTTTTGAATCATTGAACAGTTTTATTGAACTTAACTTAACTTAAGAAAATTATTTTTTCAGTTTGTTCAGAGTTACACATGCTAGACAAACTTGAACCCTAATGATAGTTATATGGTCTTAATTGATACAAAATTATCTTTAATTTTGTATATTTGCAAACTCTCTAAGTTCTTTAGAACTGGAGATACAGTTCGATAACCCATACTGAAATTTCTACAGCATATCAAGGGCACTTTAAATGACATTTCTGCAAAGTTTCATAAACATCTGTTGTCGACCCATTTTACTGACTAGCCACCTTAAAACAACTTGTAGTGGCTCTCAAATTGGGAGCTTGCAAAAAAGCTTATCCAAAAATGGATTGTATATCTTAAAAATGAATAACGTTGTTTTTATTATTGCGCATCTCTCTCTGACTGCAGCAGAGTAAGCATCGCTGAGAAACTTCATGAAACATACATACAAAAGTTGCATACGATGTAATGTGTGTGGAGACAAACTTTAAAATATACACCCCGTTTTCCATTGTCAATTTTTAAATTTTTCACATGTGACGGATAGTTGTCAAAAATCAGTAACATTGGGTTTTCCTTTGAAACATGAAAAAAATCGTAATTTTTCTTGTTTTTTACCCATAACAGAGACTATCTATTGAATCATCGAAGTTGAGTAGACCGATACATACTATGTAGACCGTTTGAAATTTTACAAGAGAATTTTGATCGCTTCAGTATTCACTGAGATCTCGTGACTGACTCATGATCGACAAAAAATCGTAGAAGGCCGATCTATGGACATTTGTTAGAAATTGAATCTAGTTTATAAATATATAAACGAAATCGTCTTATAATGGCTAGTTCAAACTTTCGTTTTCTAGCTCATCACAAAGTTTCCCCTATGAGGAAGCAATACATGAAAAATCAAAAATCATTTGGGGCCATAGCGTATCCCTGTACGAAATCCTACTGAGTTGTAAACATTTTAATTGCTTGAAAAGTTGATTACTAAAAATTCATAATAATTGTCAATACTTCGAATGGGATTTCAGAGTTAGGGCTCTTGCGAATAAAGAACGAGTCGTACTGGTGAATGGTCAGTTATACGCAAATAATAATGGATATATAATAAGATATAGGATATCAGACTCGATGGCGGAGCTGCTGTCCGCAGCTCATCTACAAGTCAATTAGGATCGCGTGCAACGATCTCGTGAACCACCCAGTTCGCGCAAGTCGTCGTGTGGACTTGGAGAAACGTAGGATATAGCTATAAGGTCGCCTCGTTACCAGTAACTTTACAACTCGTCGAAAATTGTCTATATAGCGTCTTTCGACTGTTTAAAACGTACTGCCTGAGAGGACAAAACATATCTCAAGCAACTATTCCTGTATGGATATAAAACTAAGTCAAAATTATAGTATTATTTTCAAGTTTTAGCCCATTAGTTTGTGAGCGAACGCGTAAAGATCAATTGGAAAAGTTTATGCACACCCCTACAGATCGAGTTCATTAAAATTTAAAAGGTTTTTAGATATTCGCACTTCACATGTACGCAGGGACAAATGCCTCTCTTTTCGATTTTCGCCTCTCTCCGTCCATCGAGCTTTGGTGGCTGCGTGCAAGGGTGTACGAGGGTGTGTGTTCTCACGTATATATAAGCGCCACTGGCTCGTTGTCGAAAGAGCGCGCAGATCGATCGACGAGATACGCGGCAGCGGCGGTAGCAGCGTGTTTAGCTGAAAACGGCGTCACACACCGCTATGGCGGCATTGCCCAAACATATTGTTCAGATTACATTTGTGTTATATATACATGAGAAGCATATAGGTCTCGCAGCAGCAGTAGTTACGCCGATTATCGTCTCGTTCGAGTAACGCACGCACTGCTATATCTCTCCGACAATAATTCAGATCGCTTTCAAGAGATACACAAGCAGAGCTCGTAAGCCCGTTCACGAAGTGTATTATTTATGCTCATGGCGCGAGTATTGAAATATTATAAAATCCTCATTGTACCTTTTCCCAACGGCTTGTTATTAAAAACAGTTTGGGATCGATCTGACCATTGTAGTTCGATTGATAGTTCCATGCCATAGTGCTATTTTCGTCGTGATGCTTTGATTGACTGCGCTAGGATCGTCACTATCAACCCGAGCCGAGTGCGAAAATGTTCAATGGATTTCACGCGTATAATAGAGTGTGACTTAGCTAGTCCTGGACGCATGAAATATAAACCGATCCACGGGGGCTATCCTTTTTGCGCAGACACTGAGCTTTTGCCGTCCCCGATTTACACAAGTAAACAACACGTACACGCTTGACCGCGGTGTGGCTCATCATTTTGTGAGACCATTTGTCTGTACCTTTCAATATCGCTTGAAAAAAAGAGAGAAAGAAACAGTACATCGACGCACCTTTTAATCATCGAGCCTTGAGGAGGGGAAAAAAATAGAAAAATAGGCTCTTTGAGGTGTTGCGAGGGCAAACGGCGAGGATCGACTCTTACGAGCAAAATTCAAGCTCGCTATATGAAGTTTTGATATATCCTTGCTCGCGCTATTAGTCGAGGCAGTATATATCGTATATGCGCGCATGTGAGCTGTATGTGGTATTTAAGGGGCTGGAATCGAGCAGAGCTTTCAGGAAGCTCTAACTCACAATGAAAGGGCCTGCTGCTGTATGCGGAGAGAGAGAGAGTAAAGTAGGGAGTGCGATGGAGGGAGCTGAGTGAGCCAGGCAACGTCTTCGCACTCGTTGCCGCTGCTGCTGCTTTGTCTGTATGGATGAGCACGCGTAGCATGTATCATCGACGCCACATAAAACCCGAACCTCTAGTAAATGTGAACGGTACGTGTATGTATACATTCATTCGTCCAGGTATACAAAGGACTACTATGTAAGCGTGTACCTATACCATTCTGTCGGACGATCCCAGCAGCAGATTCGAACTATACTCGGGTAAAAGATGGAAATCGATACGACGAACCTAGCAGGACACGCGGATTATGCTTTTCCTACATTCGTTGCCATAACCCGAATGAGACTCGCAGAGCTTGCAGCAGTTTTCTCATCTTTAAAATGGAAAACGAAATTGTTTTGGTCGTACAATTGCAAATTAAGAGTATTCGACGATTTTTTTCCGGCGATCATGCAACTTGAATAAAACAAAGAAACACTTATACAGTGAAGGTGAGCTGTACGTGAGTCGCTACTCTCACAATATAGGCAAACGCTGCACGGTAATTTAGCCGGGCGCGTAATTAGCCGCTCGAGACGGAAAAGTTAAAATCCAAGTGCACGAGAGACAAGACGATGAGCTTTCGAGGATCGTCTTACTCCGATGATTGTGCGATACGAGGAATCGAGCAGCGAAGCTGCTTGGACCAATGGGAACACGAGCTGCGTTTTGTCGTCGTGCGCGACCCTGTGCGAGCACACTCGGGATCGCGTATTATCTTTGTTGTCTCCGTTTCACGATCTGCCTGAGCAGTTAATATGCAAAATCTCTCTCGCTGGGCTCTACTACGACCCCTCTCGGTAGTCACATGGCGCGTGTATGATATAACTATATGTATTTATTATATACTACGTACACACGTATAATGTAGAGGAGCTCTGCGCGTCGCATGGAGAAAGAGAGGATCTCTCTGCTCGAGGATCGAGCTCAAGCCACCCCTGCCTCGAGCTCGATGTAGTATACATAATACGGAGGTGAAAGAGAAAGAGAGAGAGCGACGTAGCCTGCCCATAGCGGATGATCCCGCCTCCACGACCATCCCCTGTGTTGCGAGTTCAGTAGTGCACCGAGCGTATACGCACGCGCGCGCGCAGATTCTCCTGCTGATGATGCGATGCCTCTCTCTCTTTCTCTGTCTCTCTCTATTTCTCTCTCTGTCTCTCTCTCTCTCTCTCTGTCAGACGAGCGCGCGGTTTTAGCTTCGATGAGGCTTAGCAACGGACTAGCACTACTTACTATTTCTATTGCCACTGGCGTCGCCGTCGCAGCCTTTTCGCCTAAGCCGAAAACCCGGTGTCCGTCTATCGCGCGCGCGCACGCCTATTACATCGACCAAAACAATTCCAAACTATCCAAAACGCAGTTTCAGTACGGAGTGCCGAGTTGATTTCGCGAGTGTAACGTTATCTTCGAATAATCCCGATATATTAGTGAAAACTGCGCAAGGCTTCTCGAGTGTTTTGCCCCGGCTATTTTCGCATAATATATAGGATAATCCACCGACCGTCGTGATCGTGTGCCAATAATTGCTGTGTGCAATCGTCGCGTTGGACCAACACGACAACGGAATCTACGGCATCAACGAAGCATCCCCGCTTTGACGGTAACACAGATCATCGCCAATACATACAAATTATATGTGCGCATGGTTTGTAAACAATTACCCTTCTACCTTTTGGACTGAACGCAGGCCCAATTCGCTTTGGTTTTGCACCGACCGAGAGTAAAATCTTATAAATCTCCTTAGATATAATAAACTGAAAACGAAAGCTCGCGGATGCCATAAAACCTGTGGAATATTACCCCGCCGACGTTGCAGGTCCGTGCATCAAGTACCTTATGTGAAGTACAACATTTTTCGGCACGACGAAATAGGCTACGAGTGCCAAGACATGACTTGTGAGAGTACTTTATACATTTACAAGTTATGTTTAAACCTACGTAATGAAGTTATATTCATATTATTTTGCGCCATCGATCTAACGATTTGAATTAATAACGAACAATATAGTTATTGAAATCTTTATCAACTCTATGATTGGCGCTTTATCCAACTTTCTGACGTTGTTAAAATCGACGCCTTTTAAAAAATCGAATCATTTTTCTCGCAAACTGAATTACTAGAAGCTTAATGCATCAATGCCTCTAAAATACCGACATTAGCAATCGGATTTTCATTGGAATTTGCACTTGCGACATTTGGTTTCGCGGAATTTCTTTGCTCGGAGTTATGTCGCCTGCACAGTGAGATATTCGTTGTTGCGTATCATAGACTACAATTAAAAGTCTGATCAAAGCTGAGAAATTGCATTGTAATGGCAATAGCGTGTGGGTGATCGAGCTTTGCACATAATGTGAAGCTTTTTCTAAAACCTAGTTCAAAGGCTCAAACAAACGATAATATAAGCATGAACAGATATTGAATGGCTTCACAGGCGCTTTGAAAACGGCGAATCGATCATTCAAAACCACTAATTGTAAACCAAGTCGAATCGCACAATTTTTCAATTATTTCCTAGCGAATAACACCTTCCAGCTTTGATCTAGAAGCTATAATCAATTGTAACGTTTTATCAATACACTAATTTATCTCATTTCATAAAACACATATTAAATCATCGGTACCACACTGCAAAAACAAAATAATCACGGAAAATCCTATCGAGTAAAAATTCGAGCACACAAATAATACACGAAAAAAATAAAAAAACTCGGCGTTAATGATCATACGATAATTTATCGGACGCGATGTTGGCATTGAACCAATATCGCTTTAAAAGCACACTGGAATACAGCCCTGGCGGACAAAACAATACGAGCGAGAGAACAGAGAGAAAGAAAAATTTAGTCAGCATCTCGTATGCAGAAAAAAAATATAATAGTCGTGAGCAGGTCGTTGGGTTGGGGAAAAAAAAGCTCGGAGGCGCGGGCGTGTAATGGCCAAAAGAAGAGCTCGCATGTACTATCGTCGTATGTACATTCATACATAGCTCCGCGGCGCACGTCAGGCACACGCATACGTATACTGTACGTGCAGCATCGTTGAGGGGAGGAGGGCATATAGAGGCGAATAGAGGGCAAGAAAGAATGAAAAAAAAGAAGAGGAGAAAAATGAGATAGTCAAGCCACGTGTGTATTTTCTGCCTCGGTCGTTGAAAAAAAAAGACTTCGCGAGAGACAGGCTCGAGTTGTGTGTGTATGTGTGCAGCATAATGGCAAGAAGTAAGCTAGGAGCCGGGGATAAGGGCAATGGTGGACTCGAGCGAGTTTCCTGCCTAGTGCGTTGGGAAAAACGCTTTTTTTACGCTATGATCTCCCGTACACACACAGACAGTCTTTCACGCTGCCCTGAGTCTCGCGCGCGCGCGCGGCACACATATATTACGAACTACGAGCGAGAAAAGATTAAACTTGCCGGCTACTACTCTCATTTCTTTTGTAATGTTGCACCTTTTGGCAGCCTAATGCTCCACAAAATATTTGTTTTTATACTCGACTCTGCTGTACGACGAGATCGTTGTCGAACTATCGCAGCTTTTACGGCCAATGCTACGCGTTCGTGAATTATCGGCAATTGTAATACAGCTACAAAGCCGAGGATTTATGTAAGCGCGCATCCATCGAAACGATCTTCGGCTCGGTGCAGCGCGCGACGCGTGGCCAACTATTATATTCGTGTTATGCACGCACTGTTATTCGAGGAATCATTGCCATTTTCTAGCGCATTCGACGCGCTTCAATGTTCACGCGCGGAAAATAACAGAATCCAGCCAAAGTCCTCGTTATTACGCGTTGACGAAAGCTGCGACGTTTCGGATATCGCGCGTTTTCAAAGTTCGACTAGCGAGTTTGCTTTGAAGCATGGCTTCGAGTACAGCAGGCAAAAATATTTCCCTTCGAAATAAGTCGACAAAAGTTACATCTCGGCAGCTCTCGCGGTCGCAGCGCATTGTTACACAGCGCGATTAGAGGCACGTTCATTAGGGACTAACTGCCGAGCAAGTGCGCGCACGAATTCGGCCAAGATGGCGAATAATAAAAACTGCGATCGAACGCGTCTCGGCTCTCGGGTCGGATTATAGAGATGAACCGCCGCCGTCATCGCCGAGCGTGCATTATGCAGTCGTTGCGTACATTTAAATACAATATCTTTGTCGCGGATATGCATGTGTCGGCGGGTATATATGCGCGCGAGTCATTATATATACAGAGACAGAGAGAGAGAGACTCGAAGAGAGAGAGAGAAAGAAAGAGATGCACACGCGTACGCAGCTCTCGAGGCACTCGTATAGTTATACACACACACATACACATTTATACGCACGCAGCAAAGGCGAGCGTTTCCGGCGAGCGTTAACAGAGTAACGTTCAGAGTGATGTAATGAGGCCCGGAAGTGGGCAATTTGCTTGGCTACTACTACTACTACTACTACTACTAACACTGCAACTACGGCTACTGCAACAACTATAATGCTGCACAGTTCTTGCGCGCTCGTGTACTTGGATCTTCGAGCTTGTGTGTGTATGTGTACATGTTGTTGTCGTCGTCGTCGTCGTCGTCGTCGTCGTTCTCGACGTTGACGGGTCAGTCGCGCGAGGCACAACCTGTGCGTACGACACGCGTAATACGATTTCTATATTAGGTACATCTTCGATCTGGAGTGTACTGGATGCTGCTCGATTTGTGCACGATGCTGCCAGTGACCAGTGATCGAGACTCGCGCAGACGAGAGAGTGAAAACCAGTGACAGTGCGATACATATCGAGAGCGCAGTGTCGAGCGTTCAGTACACAAATCCGACTCATCCGATGGCGAGCACGAGAATGGAGTAATTCCAGGATATGCCACGGTACGGACTATCGTAGACTTGCAAGCTCGCGTCTGGTCGCGCTAATTTGTCGCAAGCTTACGTTACTTACATGTATGAGCTGTCATTTTCGTTACCATAGGCTGCTAATTACTCGCGTTAGATTAAAATTCAGAACGCACACTTATAATAGTTAAGCTAGCCGGTAGATCTTGACGGATAGACCACTGCAAGCACAGTTTTACACCGTGTACTCGTCTAATCACGCGCCTAAAACTGTTTGTTTAATCACAATAAAACTGAGCAGGCTGAATGATTTCGTTCAGCAGTTTCGATTGGAGCTGATGCTTGGTCAGCTCGTGATGCACGCGTCTACCTGCATTCGAGATATACTTATTGTATTATGATTGTAATACTCATTTTTTGCCTGCTCGCGCGCCTAAACGTATGCACGCGTTTACTCGTTACACACGCTTACACACTCATGTACGTACACATTTTGCGCGCCTCTCATACATAAGCGTACACGTTCGAGTTGAAAGACTAAATTTGTGCCTGTATATGTGCGCGTAGAGCTACATAGCGAGCGCTATTTGCGAGGTTCTAATGATACAATTACACACGGCGAGTTGAGCTAGTTTATTGCTGCAGCTTCGTGTACGTCTGCATCTGCGTGTCGTAGATAATATGGCACTGTGTGTGTGCCAAGCTACCCGAAAAGAAAAGTTTAGTTCGAGTGCTTTCTCGGCGAGAGATCGTCGATCAATAAGCAAAAACCACGGTTCAGCTTCAATAACGTATTTCGAAAATTCAAATTGTTTTTTATTTCAATTTGCGACGGTACAAAAGCTTGTGCAAAAGCAGGCACTTTTTCACGATTTTACCGATGCAGACCTTTTAAAATAATTTTAAAGTATTAGTTTTGTAATAGCTTTTTTGTGAAGCAAACAGATTTTGCAATCCGTAATTGTCCAGAGTAATTGAGTATTTACAAATAATACATCTTTATTCTGAACTTCAAGCAAGAACTTCAAAGGGTTTTATAAGCGCCCAGTAATGTAAAAGGAGTTGATAAACAAAGAAATTTGCCGACCAACATAAAAACAATTTACTCACTTCAAAAATGTAATTCATAAAATAATTTTGTTTACACGTTTTACTACAAAATTTGTTAAATGCACATCAAACTTGTCCAGCTTAGCAGCATGAATTTCGCCAAGATTTCACATCGATTTTATAAAAAATGTATGTGAATTTGATGTGTACTTATTGTCAAATATTTTGGAGAAATTCACGTAAATATGATGTACATTTTTTTATAAATTTTACCCACATTTCATTTTTAATTTCATGTGAAAAAATTTTTACTCGATTCACGTCGAAATATTTGACGTAGTTACACATGAAATTCAGTTGAAACAAAGGTGTAAATCCGTAAAAACGAGCAAGCGAGCGCGATAATCGTAAAAGTATAAACTGATCTAAGATAGGTTCTTTCGCGCACTGTAATTGGCTGAGACTCTTGAGTGCCCATGAGTCCGCTCGCTCGTTTCTGTTGTGGCTTGTAGACTGCCACGATTGACTACTGTTCGCCCTTCGTACCTTTGTATTGTCTATGTAGCGTCTTTAAACTCTGTTGCTCTGAGCATGTTTATGCATATTACTCGATCAAACAACACACTTTTAAGTGTTTTTCAAACTTTAAAAGGGAAAGCTGCGACCACGATAGTCGAGAGAAAATCAAAAAAGTCAACTGAATTAAATTTAATTGACGAAATCATAAATGAAATTGAATGAAATTAATTAATCAACTAATAAAAAATGACAGTTCTTCAAAAAGTTTTGAAACAACTTGAATCCAAGCTCATACATAAATTTAGAATGCAGTTGTATAAGAACAGATGTTAAAATATATTTTACGAAAAAAATTGTAGGTCCAAGCATATAATTACATTTAATCTCAAATAATAATTTTGTTATCACTTCTAGTGATTTAATTATTGAACGTTATAGGCCCAAGAAGTGAAGCTTCAGGATCCTATTGGTGGAATAATTTTATTATTATTTTTTTTAATTTTTTATAAAATTTCGTTGAAGTTTTACTTGAGTTGAAATGTTTAAGGATAAATTGTATTCCAAAATTTGTTCTTGTAACAAGAATTAAAGACATCATATTTGATCATGAACTTTTTGATTTCATCAACAGATGGAGTATTGTAAATTCGCAAGTGGCGAAAAATTGTCCGATTAGTATAATAATATTTTAGATATGAAATTTCAACTATTGTTCTTTTTTGAATTCTGAGCCATAACCAACAGCTTACATTATGAGTAAAATGACAATCGTGAATTATTTTCTCAGGGGCGCTTTGGTGATGTACGACAGCGCCAGCTGCTCGTACGCTGCTGCGCTCGATCTCAAAGGACCAAGCATCCTCGCCAGTCATTCCTCGCTCAGCAGTAACAACAACAACAACAGCAGCAGCAACAACAACAATAACAACGGCACCGCTCCCAGTGCCAACAACAACAACAATAACAACGCGGCAGTGCATCACAATAACGTTATAGTGACAAGTGGCAGTAGTGCGTGCAGCAGCTCGTCGAGCGCAGCCGCGTCGGCTGCTGCCGCCGTCAAGCAGGAACAGAACTGGCCCTATCGAGGCCTCAACTGCACCGGCAGCACATTTCAGCAGCTCAAGCAGAGCGTCGAGAAGGCCAAGCAGGCCTTGGCCGATCGCGGCGGCTACCTGGCCGGAGCCTTCTCGCCGCCGCCACGAGTCAACTCCAGCGCAGTGTCGCCCACCACATCGATAACAGGTAAGCAATTTTTCTTTTTTTTTTCCTTCATACCTAGGCTCGTTTGCACAAGACGTCTATCGCATCCTAACCTTGTACGACGTCGAGCAATCAACGAGTTCGTTGGCCGCGAACTTGAACGATATGATCGAAGCTCGTTATGAATTACACATTGCGGAAATTCGATTCTGCAAAGTGCTCCGATTAGCTACATACATCTATAATTATACTGGAATAGATCGAATTCAGAATTTAATTAATTAAAAATATGAATAATTATCAGGCGAGCGATACTTTTTGTAAATGTGATTGCACTGATTTATGGCCCCGCAACGCGTCTTTGATTATTTTATCGCGACTCATTCTGAAACATTGCTTCAATTTTTTCCGGCAGAGGTGTGCTTGATCAAATCAATGCACTTTTTGGATAACTCATATTATTTATTGATTAAGTTTCTTGTTTCCATATAAAAAGCTTACAATCTACGGCAGAGATCATATTATTTACAAATACGGAGACGCGTTCAGATTACGGCTCGAAGTATATAGATATCTTCAGGGGCTCGACCTCGTCAGCTGGTGCTGAATCTGCTGCAACGACTTGCCCTTGGTCTCGGGCATGAGGAAGATAGCGGTGGGCACCGCGAGGAGGCTCAAGCAGCTGTAGACCCAGTAGACGCAGGGCTCGCCGAGCTCGTTGACGGCCGGCAGGTGGAGCTTCGTGACCAGGGCCACCATGAAGGACATGGTGAGCGTGAGAACGAGCGAGGCCAGGCTCTTGGCGCTGTCGGGCATCAGCTCGCTCAGCATGGCGAACGGCACCGAGTCGTAGCCGATGGCGAACGAGGCCGAGTAGAGCAGCACCGAGACGATCGGCAGCACCTGACTGGCGGCGCCACCTTCGTCGAGCCAGCCGGCCTCGAGCAGGAAGAAGTGCGCCCCGAGGATGGCCATGCCGAGAGCCGTGCCGAGGCCCGATAGAGCGAAGAGCACTCGCCTGCCAAACTTGTCGATGAGATTGACGGTGAGACAGGCCGCGACGATCGTCGCCAGGTTGTAGTAGATGACGAACTCGCTCGTGGGTACGAGCTCGAAGCGGGCCTTGTCCATGGTTATTTCCATGTACGAGGTCAGACCCGGTCCACCCGAGCTCACGGGCAGCACGCACAGCACCATGATCAGCAGCAACGACTTCCAGATGTTGGGCTTGCGCAGCTCTCGTAGCTTGTCCCTGAAACTCATCTGGCCGCTCGCCTCCAGGTAGCTCTTGATCTGGCACAGCTCCTCGTCGACGTTGAGTTCACTGCCCGTGTAGAATACGATGGCCTTGGCGGCCTTGGCCTCGTCCTGCCTCTTGCTGTGGAAATAGGCAGAGTCATCGAGCCAGGTAAACGCCGCGATATCTACGAGGCACAGGATCAGATAGATGCTACTCGACACGTCCATGGGCAGATACGTCTCGGCCATCGCGGAGAAGGTCAGGCCCACGGGCACTCCCACCACGGCCAGCTTGATGCAGGTGCCGCGCATCCTCGGCTCGATCACCTCGCCGAGAAATATGGAGAAGCCGGTCTGCGACGTGGCGAAGCCGACGCCGCCGAGGAAGCGCGACGCGTAGATCCAGCCGAAGGAGCGCGCCAGGACCAGACAGAGCCAGCTGCTGGCGAACAGCAGCAGCGACAGGAGGATGGTGCGTCGGCCGCCGTGGTAGGGCACGAAGAACAGGCCGATCACGGCGCCGATCATGCCGCCGACTGCGGGCAGGGCCACCAGCCATGAGACCTCGGAGTCGGTGAAGCGAAGCTCGGGCGGCGCCGAGGCCGAGGTCAACCGGGCGACGTTCGGCGACGACCAACCGGCCAGTATGCCGGATTGCATCATCAAGACGAAGGCTAGAACGTACGATACAGGCAGAGAACTGAGAAATGAACCAAGTGCGTTCGCTATTTTCGAGGCTATAGAAATGGATTATTTACCACCGAGCGTCGTGATCCATTGCACCGTCTTCGAGCGAAAAATGTCGATTTGAGGCTGCTGCTGCTCTGGATCTTTGAACGTCTGCATCGCCGGCCTCTCGTTATTTTGTTTCATTTGGGTCTCTGAATCCTTGGCTGGCATCTCGTCGATCGGCTCGTGGCACTATTTTTTCGTCGCACGTCGCGCGGTTGACAAAGCTCGCTGCACAATTTGCTACACTACTGGCAGACACGAAGTCATGTTCAATACTAAAATTGCATGCGCCACATGCGTTCCATTGCAAAAAAGATCTGCTCGCCTGCACTTTGATTTATCGGAAGCGATCGCGCAAATATTTATCGATCCGAAAGTGAATTCGATAAATCATCGCGAACCCGAAGCTTGCAATCTCGTGCGAGCGTGAGTTACATTTATGACCATACGTTTGGCCTTTCACACTTGACGCCGATGACAATCGAGCTCTATATTTATGCATCATAAATATTTTGAATAAACACGAAATGAAATATGTCGCTTATGTTGTAATTATATATATATATCAGTCGAGACAAACGTCTCATGTACTCTATACAATAATTGCGTCTCTGTAAAGCGTGTTGACAATTTATCTATAAAGTAGATAAAGTAACAACTAAATAAAGAGAGAGAAAAAGAGGCGAGGCCATGTTATACACAAACAAGAAAAGATGAAGAACAAACAAGGCGGAAAAGACAGAAACGCCAGTGGAATAATTTGTCGATCGCAGCTTCGCGACTCGCTGTTCTGGGCTACGGAGAGCATCCCGATACGTGATATAATAGCTGCCTATTGAGAATAAGAGAGGAGCCGCATCCGCGAAGCCGACGACGAGCGGCGTGTCGCCGATTTCCGACTGTTTTTTTTCTTCTTTCTTTTACTTTTTAGTGCCTAGCGACTTGCTTCACGGGCAGCCACGAGGCTTCCTTCCTCAGTGACTATATAGCGCTCGAGTCCTTCCAAGAGATGGATGAGCAATACGCGCATTAAAATACCTGCGCAACTATAGAGAAATTGGCCAGAAAATCTTGTCCTATACGATAAAATCGAGAGCGAATTTAAAAGCATATTGTAAATAATGTTATCGGAGAGGCGCAATTTTAGCGATGCAATCTAGATCGCGGGCCGGCGTTGTAAATCATCTAAATTAACGCGGATTTATTTTCGTACACATACCCACATTGATTGGAAGCTTCCAGGGCTCTCGAGCGCGCGATTTTTCATGAATTATTGCAATATGCGCTCATTATATTTCGGGGCTTAATTATCGTCGATATACGGCCATTGTTCTGCACTTTGGCCTCTTACGATCTTGACCCGCGCTCGAAAAGTTCAGCATGAGCGCTGCAGCTCGAGCTGTATCGGCCGCGCACATCCCGCGCGCGCGGATATCAGCGGTCAAGGCAGAACATGTATCCAGTCTCATTGCGGTTTTGCGGCTCTTATCTCTGAGGTAAAATATACTCTATACGCGCGTGGGCTGATAGCGAGCAAGTCGTCGCTATGGCACGTCCGCGATGCGAACGGCAAGATGGTGGAGTAAATGAGGGAGAGAGAGAGAAATCTGCCCTTGCTGTACGGTATACACAGAGTCTGGAACAAATATCGATGATGGCGGCAGCTAGTATGTGTGCGTGTGTGGGTGCGAGAGAGATCACAAACGCAGGCTCCTCTCTTTCCTGCGGGTTATTATAGAGGGGGATTTAGCCAGCGGTATCCATGACGACAGACCCAGCCCCTTGGCTGTACTGGGCTAAGGCCTCTCTCTCTCTCTCTCTCTCGCAGCATCCCTCTCTTCCGCTTTGCGCCGAGCTAGACAGAGAACGAGCGAGAGAGGATGTGCACCTAGTTAGAGCAAAGCTCTCGCTATCTATAGCCCAGCATATAGCGTGCCTTGAAATGCTATCTCTTAACCCCCTCGCCTTTTCCCTCACCCTCTCTCTGTCTCTCACGGAACGAGCGACTAAGCTGTTCTCTTCTCTCTTTCTCTCTCAACTTCTCTCAGCTCAAGCCGCAAAGTTATCCGAGAAATTTTGCCGAAGCTTAGAGGATGTACGTACACTATCGATCGCGAGCGCTGCGTTTCGCGGCTCCGAGCTCTGTGTGGCCGACCTCTAGGATACTTCGATTCAGAGACAAAGAGTATCCATAGTGCGCCTCGAGACTTTCTCCCCGCGTTCCCTCCGTGCGGCTTTATTGTTGAAACCCCGGGCGCTTTTGCTCGATGAAGCGACGAAAATTTAGGGCTCATTTGCCGTGTACTCGCGTGCAATTGTTCGCCGATTCGAATATATATTATATAGTATACTGTGCAAACAGACGCGCTTCGCTCGGCTGCTTTTCGGTCAATTACGAGTCGGTTTGTTTGAATTATTAAGAGACAACCGTACAACGCGCCCGTGCGCGACGTCTACTGCAAATAAGCCGAATGCAAGTCGCTATCGACGCGGTCGACGAGTGTCGATTACACGATTCGACCGATGTGTAAAATAAACAATTCGGGTGCGAGTTGACTTTGACGAGCGATGTTTGCTGTATTACGATAAACGGACATTTAATGCTTTGCATTAGCTTTAGCTAAGTATAATGCGTAAGCAGCGACGTGTACGCTGGTAAAATGCCCAACATTGATAATGGCTTGAGAATCAAAAAAGAACCATTTAAAATATTGCAAATATTATCACCATCTATTAACTTGTTTTTAGCAATTTCTACTTAATGTAAATCACTTTAAATACGATATCACTTTAAATCTCCACCGCTAGATGGCCTGTATCCCTATCTGTAAATTCGCAAATGGCAATGGCAAATTACTGTATAAGTCGAAGCCTTTTCATATTTGGGTTATATGATAGCACACATCGTGAATCAACTTTTTCAGGCACTGTAAATACAATAATATTACTTTAAATCTCCATTACTATATGGCAAGTACCTCTATCTGTAAATCTGCAAGTGGCTAAGTCAGAATAATTGTATAAATTGGAACTCGATTTCAATACCAGAATTCTGCAGCTGGACTGACAAA